AGTTGTCGGATTGAGTGACTACTCAAGCTTTTTGTAACTGCTCGTCCGGATGATTGATCCTAGCTCTCCTTTTATAATGGGAATGGTTTAACATCGCAGACAAATTGGTTTAACTACCAGACTAGAGGTTCTTTATAAAAATTTCAACATTTGCATATAAGTTCTTTACAACATTCCGACAATTGCATATAAAATTGATTAACAGATTGGAAAAAGTCTACAATAATGAGTTTTGTCTGTAATATTTAAACATTGCAATTAAAATTGGAAGGGTTGGATTTGGATGAATGATTCATCATTTTGGATATCGAAATATTTATTTTTTTGATTTTATGTAACTAATCATTTATCTGAGAAATGTTTTAAATTATAATTAAAACAATCATAACATCTTTTTGGCTTCGGCAACATTCTCCACAATCAACTATCGTGTGGGAACTTGTTGAAAAGTTTCAACTTTTTTGGTTGATTCCACTCCTCGAATGCAGTCGCTTGTCTTGGTGATATTTGCAAAACGAATCCAGGCAAAAAAAGAGCCTCGAAGCCCGTCCCATCAAAATTTCGACTTTCATAAAAGTGTAAATTCACTTTCTCTACGCTAATATTTACGCTAGATCATCAATTAATATGGACGAAGATTTGTCCACTGTAAGCCAAGCTATTGTCGCCATGTCTGATTTACGAATGTTCTTTCCTTCCTCCCCCATCCACACTTCTTTGTGATCATCAAGGAGCTTAGCAACAAACTCCACTTTATTTTCGATGATATTATTCCACACCAAAATGTTAGGTTCGTTTGGTCCAAACAGTGCTAAGTGGTCTTTATTAAAATCAGGCTACTCTGATCTTTTGCTTGCGTACTATCATCACAGATAAATAATTAATTCCCTTGGCTTAAATCGAGCATTTCTGACTACACTATCATCACAGGTCTTATATCTCTCACTGAGTGAAAGATAAATGGTTTGACCTTCTTTTTTAATGTGAATGTCAGGTAACGATTTCCTTTATTTTAGGTTCTATGCCTTTAGCTTGCCTCCCTCGACCCTGGCACATCTGAGATAGTCATCCTTCACAGTCGAACTCGAGATCACCGATACAAGATATACGCTATTTACTTATCGCTGCATGTACAATAAACAGATTCCTCAGCGATCTTCACATGCAACAATGTAATGCACAACCACTACTTCGATGTCCGTTGCTCGTTACGTTTTGTTCAAACGAGTTTTTATCTCATCTAGAAGTTGATAATAGTGTATCTGAATTGAAATGAATCAAATCGAATTAAAATCTTTCAGTCTTTTCAAACCTTACTTTCTGAATTGATCGCATTTGTTAATGTTCATGCAATGAAATGGGAAAAAATGGATTTGTTATTTTGACAAATAATTAATAATTAAGAGTCAAATGGCAATTAGCATTGAAAATTTGCCCAAACTTTTTTCCTTTGCTCCTGTATGAATCAATGATCGCATTTTCTATCAAATGTTTTTACCAATCGATTAGAGAATGGCTTGAATTTGCTTTTTTATCGCATAATTTGTTGAGTAATGCAAAACCGCTGACGCCTACACCTTTAATATCGCGCCATTACTCTGATCATAACCAGCAGAGAACTTTATCGATCGTAGTCCTGACAGAGTATCGGAATGCCTATCCGACAATCATTTTTGTTCTGGACAAAGCGTAACAAAAGCAATCTGGGGTTCTAGATTATATTTGGATTGTACGCGAAGCGAATATGATGGTTCACTATATACCACCATTGGGCCACTCACGCGCTATATTACTTTGCGCAACTTCGGCGGTCCTATGCCTTAAAGGTAAGGCATGGGGCGGAGTATACAGTGCGCATAACTGAAAAACCGTTTTAGTTCTGTGAGTCGACTTGTGAATGCTCTCGGCGCTGAGTGGCTTATAAATATGTGTGGAAGAATGTGAGACATCTTTATACTAATGTGTGATGCTTTGCCTTTGGTTAAGGATTAGGGAAAGAATCGGATTCAAGAATGCGAAGAAACTAAGTCATTCGGAATTCAGAAAAACTGAAGTACCATAGGACACAGACACAAGCTCTATAACAAGGAAATTCTTTTCCTTTACTTTTGTCCTCTTCTGACATTCATTTGTCTGCCTTAGATTTTCATTAAGGACTCATTTTATATTTTTTCCTGTGTCTTTTTCGAAGGATATTTTCAAAATTTAGCAATTACATGGCATAATTTAATAAAACTTCACCAATAGTTAAATTTTGATAATCTCACCAATGACAATTGGCACGCAGCAAAATAGGCACAACATAGTTTCTAGTGGTACCACGATGCTTTGATCGAAATTTACCATCATAAAAGGGATGATGTCTATGAGAGGCACGGTTTCTTCACATCTTAAACATCCTAAATTCCCAGTGAGAAACAATTACTTTTTATTACGGATATGAGAAATGACATAATTTTCAGGATTTCGAAGAAACAGAAATCCTCAGTCAGGTAGAACTTCCAGATATAACACATTCTTATTTTGCACTGATGGCAATCAGTGATCGAGTTCCAAGATACCTGGGCAAACCATCTGATAGGAAGAAAAATACCGATGAATCAGCGACTTGCATCGCTGCAATATCGCTGTTTTTGTCGTGAAATTTTTTCTGTATTTGCCTTAGAGGAGATTGACAATGAAGTTCTTTTGTATTGCTTGACACGTACGCAAGAAATTTGATAAAGGTTTATTGATGAGAGTGATAGATTTATTATTCATAGATTATTAACAAATGTAGGAAATACAGACACGGTGATAAGTTTAGCGCAGTTTTGCATCCGTTGATGAGCTTTATCCATAAAGTTGTGTCATTAAGCATTCAAGCTTCCATTTTGGGTTAATAGCAAGTTTAAGATCTTGTGAGATGAAAAAGAATTAAAATAAAGTGTTCGAAACGTTATCAAATTCAATATTTCTCCAGTCATCAAAAATGTTAGACATAATCCTTCTATTCTGCCATAAACAAGATATATGCTTTATCCAGTGACTTCTAGATGTTGCTTAATTATACAGTTTAACTATCCTTAGTGACTTAATGAATGAATTTTTTGCGACAATGAAGAAGTCACTAATTACAAAGACATTTTGCTATTTTTGAATAAACAATATCTTTGGTTTGGTGGTTCGCACTTCAAAATGAGTTTAATTCGCTGTCGAGATTTTTCAATGAAAAGATATAATGAGATTCTTCAAAAATTTGGAAAAAACGTTTGAAAAAGATAAGACCCACATAAATGTATTTTCTTCAAAATCCAATTTAATACTTCTCTTGGCAATAGTATTGATCTAATCTTTGTCGAAATTTCGCAAGATTTCCAGTCATCCTTTATAAATCGAATGGATTTTTTGTGTAATATTTCTGATTTTAAGATTCATAAGCACATTACAATCGGTACTCACTAAATTATCCAATTAAATTTGGCAATTTTACCAAATTTTTCGAGTAGGTGCAAATTTTGTGATAACAGTAAAGCACTCTAAAAATGACTTATTTCGGAACCTGAAGACTGATTAATTCAAATGCCTCAGCATATTTCTAAAATATCTTTTTTCTCATTTCAATTCCACGGAAGAGTGACTGATTAAACCTTTTACAAAAAATGGATTAAGCTGTTAAATGGAAAAAAGAATTAATGCCAACCTTAAAATTAGCTTTTTCTTAAGGGCTTAATCCATTTTCCTGTCTTCCTTTCTCGTCACCAAAACTGACAAAGTTTCGTTTGGCTCCTTTCAGACGAATTAACCAATAGGACATCTTTTTAGCTGATTAAATTGAAATAATGATGATTATATGGTCATTAAATTCATCGTCCCCAACATTCGTCGGGTACACATAATAATTGCGATTTTGTTATTTATCCAAGGGCGGCCATTTTCAATTAATTCTTTTTTTAAAATGAAAATAACCCAAAACTTTTTTTTATTCCAATTTTTTTTCCAATTTATCAGGTGTTTTCATTAACTGTTGTAAGAGAAATTGAATAACTCAATTCTGAGATGATCTTCACGAAGGTATTTGAAAACTAGAAACTCGGTCGTATGCAGACATGAATTTCATTTTATCATAGTTCTACTGTATTTTATCACAGTTTTGAATACAATAGAGCTGGTGTTTTGATTAATAGCTCACACTGACGAATTTGAAATTCCGGTAACGATAAGTACTGAAAAAGTTTATGAAGTTGTGAACTGAATATGGCAGCTTTTAAATCTAGAAAAGATGCATTGACAACTAAGAAATGTCGGTGATATTTCGGATCTCTAAACTGAATAACCTAAATTTCAACATTGCTTTTTCTCATAAATTTTGAAATGAATGCATAAATTTGCATTTGGAGGATCTGAATCATCTTTATAAAAATGACATTTTACGATAGAAATGGGACTGTCGAATGACAGATGCTCGAAATGGAATTCGTCATTATACGTCGATCATTTCACAGCAATGCTATAGAAGTTGATCTTCCCCTCCGATAAATTTCATATTTGTTTTGAATTTTCGTTCTCCCTTCCTTCTGCTATGATTAAATTCCCAAATCCATTTTTGCCAAACGTTTTTATGTTAATCTTCAAGTTTTACAACTTTGAGATTCAAATTTATTTTTAAAAAATCGATATTTTTATATAAGCCGATTGCTAAATAATAAAAGACTGCTTTATTGTTGAGGCTGACAACATGTAATGAAACTGACAAAATTAGAACTATAATCGCGAGGGTTTGTAGGTTGACGAGATGTGACAGTCACCAAACGAGAATAGCTAAGGTATGTTGTGAAAGAAGTAAAAGTTCGGGTAGCGCAAAATTGAATCACAACTTCTGGAAGAAATTAGCAAAATGAAAGTAAAGGACAACACTGATTTCATGAAGAGAATAAGAAGGAAGGTCACATGATCCGCACTATTCAATCAAATGAAAAACTATTCGTTTCCATGTCCTTGTCAAAGAGAATTTGATTTAGCAGTGTCCTTCTCTTTTTACCAAATGAAATGTTCAGAGGCACCTTCCTCCAATATAAGGCTTTGGATGATAATACCTCAGCGTCTTACATACTTCATTATCTTGTCTTAGTTTTTTTTTTTTTTTTTTTAATTCGTAGGAGTTGTAATGATAGTTAATAGATGTGCTTGTCGCCCTCGATGTCAATTTTTCTGCCATAGAGCAGATGGACACTTCCGCTTCATTGCGAACTGTTCGACACTTCCATATTCGTTTTCTTGTAGAAAATAAAGTCAACAAAAAATAAAACCTTCCGATGAATCGGTTTTCTAAATACTGCTTAAATTAAGCAGTAGAAATGTAAATGATTGAAATTGGAAGTTAACACGTGCCGAAAATTTCCATATATATCCGAATTTCGAGTAAGTGAATTTTTCAGACGATACTGTGAATATTAACCGGATAGCTTTGTTGTGTTCGTGATCTGTACAATTAAGAGATAGCCTATATAAACAGAGGAGAAGTATGATGCAGCGCATTTGTCCTTCACTTTGCATTGCCACTTTGGCAGAACAATAATAACTAATGCAAATTCACCATTTCCCCATCCTTTCACCTCCCCTCCAAAAATTCCTTTCACTCCACAGTATGTTTCCTCTGTTTTATTATTATTATTATTATTATTTATTATTATTATTATTTATTATTATTATTATTATTATTATTATTATTATTATTATTATTATTATTATTATTATTATTATTATTATTATTATTATTATTATTATTTATTATT